TTCATATATATTTATTTGTACTAGCCATTTTGCCGATATATGTTTCAAGGAAAACCGAATGCTATTAAGAAATTGTCTGCCAACAATAGGCCTTCCAGGTGTGTTTAAATAAGACTATCCTAAGTCTTGTTTTAAATATTACTACAGACATGTGAATAATTTACGTATTTTAGTCTTTTCGTAGTATATTTATTTGTAGTAGGCATTTTTACGATGTATGTTTCAAGGCAAACGGGAGACTAATATTAAATTGTCTACCAATAAAAGGCCTTCCAGGTATGTTTAAATAAGACTATCCTATGTCGTATTTTAAATATTACTACATACATGTGAATAATTTACGTATTTTACTATTTTCGTAGTATGTTTATTTGTAGTATGCATTTTCACGATGTGTTTCAAGGCACACGGGAGACTAATATTAAATTGTCTACCAACAAAAGGACTTCCAGGTATGTTTAATTGCGCGTAATTATTGATCATTTGCGCACAAAAGAGGACAATGGGCATGTATTCTGTGCTGAACACCAACAGCAACCACATAAAATCACGTTTTTCGGCGTTTAAATAATGTTCATGACGTATTAAGTTCTGAAGTTCACAGTACTTCTCATTGGGGGATGGGGAATGTTCTGTGCTGAAGACCCCAATATTTGTTTGCTTTAATAATTTCAGTTTCAAATTAAATCGAGTTTCTAATAAATGTACGTTTTTAAAAATATAGGCATTTTGCATTGCAGACTGATTTCGAAGGTGCTGCAATGCCAAAAGCTGTAGTAAGTGTCATTAACTCCCATGCCATGACCATGATAAGCAATGTCAAAGATAACCGTGTGAAAATTACATTTAATAAACCATTTGACATGAAAACAAAATAATTTTTGCCGATAAGATACCTCTTTTCGTAGAAAACCGAGTTTGAAATCGTTTTACTTTTATACGAAAAGTGCGGCTTCAATTTCTATTTTTCGGGAAAATAAATTTTCTTCAACTTCTTGCTGTGTAATTTCATCTGCCATACTTTCCCTACGACCGTATTAAGTTAACAGTTAAATTAAGTAACAGACCAATTTGCACATATATATATGTCACAATTAAAACCTGTATAACTATAGTTTATAAAGTGTTAAAACGTTTATCAGTTTTTGAGAGAAAAAATCCTTCTTTTTGGGAGATCAAAACAATGGAAAAACTTGGTAACTAATGATCGGTAAAAATCAATGTTGTTTTAGGTCTTTGCCCTCTTGAAACCTAAATTTGTCTGAATTATTTTTTACATTTGTGACAGTGGTATGTATGTATTGAGATAACAGAAATAGTTTTTATTGTTGTGTTGTTGTATTTATGTTCGTACATTCTCTTTTTTAAATATTGTTTAGTTTGTCCTATATTTGTATTATCACATTCTAAAAGTATTGAATGCACTGAATTAATTAATTCATTAGTTGTTACACTGAATTATTTGTTTATTTTCTTAAACCTTGATTCATAACGTGCTCATTTTGCTTTTTGATCAAAGGTTTGTTGTTTGTATAAAACACTTTTCACAAATTAAGAGTACTTGGCGTTTCGCCTATTTATTTACTGCAATAAAAAATTGAAAATGCTTATGAAGTTTTTATTATCAACATATCCAAACACCAATCACCACCCAGTACTTTAATTGAGATTAGG